GTTGAACAATTAGTTACCATATCATATAAGGAGTTCTAATAAAGTGTTGAACTATTAGTTACCACATCAATCAAAGCAACGTGCTCTAATAAAGTGTTGAACTATTAGTTACCACATCAATCAAAGCAACGTGCTCTAATAAAGTGTTGAACTATTAGTTACCACATCAACCAAAGCAACGTGTTCTAATAAAGTGTTGAACAATTAGTTACCACGTCACGTAACATGTTTGTTCAGCAATATAATTCTGACAGATTTTAAAATTTCAAACTCTATTAGCTGTAAAGGAAATGTCACCAAGTGTGATTTTAGCGTACTTACTTATCTATGCTTTGTTTTAACGCAAAGTTACACAATAGGTTATTTACACTCTGTACACCTCGGGGAATCGAACCCCTAATTTTAGTATTGGAAGTTCGTAAACTTACCGCTGACCCACAAGGAGGTCTTTAGTTTGTGTTTTTCTATAGTATGTATAATGATTTTTTTTTTATTTACATACATGTACTGAGGTTAATATCACTTATAAGTGCTGCCCTTGGAACTACCTCCCTTACCTTCATCGATTGGGCTGTTTCTCGGGACTATGATTGCCCATTTTGATTAAGGCACCCGGTTCGCAATATGAAGGTTGTGGGTTCGAGTCCCACCATCGAACAAGTTCGCTTTTTTCAGCCGTGGAGGTGTTATAATGTGATGGTTAACCCCACTATTCGTTGGTAAAAAAGTAGTCCAAGAGTTGGCGGTGTGTGTTGTTGACTAGCTAACTCCCTTTAGTCTATCATTGCTAAATTAGGGACGGCTAGCGCAGATAGATCTCAAGCAGTTTTGCGCGAAATTCAACAAAGAAACAAAATGATTGCCCATTTACCTGACATTGCAAATATCAATTGTAACACTAGAGGGAAGGCAGCTAGTCAACAAATATCAATTGTAACACTAGATGAAAGGCAGCTAGTCAACAATATCAACTGTAACACTAGAAGGAAGACAGCTAGTCAACAATATCAATTGTAACATTACAGGGAAGACAGCTGGTCAACAATATCATTTGTAACACTTGAAAAAGGAAGGCAGCTAGTCAACAGTATCAATTGTAACACTAGAGAGAGATGGCAGCTAGTCAACAATATTAATTGGAACACTAGAGGGAAGGCAGCTAGTCAACAATATCAATTGTAACATTAGAGAAATGGCAGCTAATCAACAATATCAATTGGAACACTAGAGGGAAGGCAGCTAATCAACACCACCTATCGCCAATTCTTGGGCTACTCTTTTACCTACGTAACGCCCCTACGGCTGAAGTTCACAACATCAGATGTTTTTAGAAAAAAAAAGTTCCCATTTCATTTTAATAATGGTGTATTTGATAAGACTTTGAAAGTCAATTACCCCATTCTTCTAGTGCCAAATGTTTCATTTTGTCCTGTGACTCCTGTGTTACCACACCTAGCAACATGTACAGATTCTCCACATTGTCCTGTGACTCCTGTGTTACCACACCTAGCAACATGTACAGATTCTCTACATTGTCCTGTTACTCTTGTGTTACCACATCTAGCAACATGTACAGATTCTCCACATTGTCCTGTGACCCATGTGTTACCACACCTAGCAACATGTACAGATTCTCCACATTGTCCTGTGACCCATGTGTTACCACACCTAGCAACATGTACAGATTTTCCATATTGTCTCGTGACCCTTGTGTTACCACACCTAGCAACATGTACAGATTCTCTATATTGTCGCGTGACCCTTGTGTTACCACACCTGGCAACATGTACAGATTCTCCACTTTGTTCTGTGACCCATGTGTTACCACACCTAGCAACATGTACAGATTCTCAACATTGTCCTGTGACCCATGTGTTACCACACCTAGCAACATGTACAGATTCTCCATATTGTCCTGTGACCCATGTGTTACCACACCTAGCAACATGTACAGATTCTCCAAATTGTCCTGTGACCCATGTGTTACCACACCTAGCAACATGTACAGATTCTCCACATTGTCCTGTGACCTATGTGTTACCACACCTAGCAACATGTACAGATTCTCCATATTGTCCTGTGACCTATGTGTTACCACACCTAGCAACATGTACAGATTCTCCACATTGTCCTGTGACCCATGTGTTACCACACCTAGCAACATGTACATATTCTCCACATTGTGGAGAATCTGTACATGTTGCTAGGTGTGGTAACACATGGGTCACAGGACAATATGGAGAATCTGTACATGTTGCTAGGTGTGGTAACACATGGGTCACAGGACAATGTGGAGAATCTGTACATGTTGCTAGGTGTGGTAACACAAGAGTCACAGGACAAAATGGAGAATCTGTACATGTTGCTAGGTGTGGTAACACATGGGTCACAGGTATATTGTCCTGTGACCCATGTGTTACCACACCTAGCAACATGTACAGATTCTCCACAGTGTCCTGTGACCCATGTGTTACCACACCTAGCAACATGTACAGATTCTATATATTGTCCTGTGACCCATGTGTTACCACACCTAGCAACATGTACAGATTCTCTAGAAGTGGTTATACTGGCCCAACTATTCCAACACTTGATATTCGAATTAAAGAACGATCGACATGCTGTCATTTGTAGAAAAGCACGCACGGAACTGCGGTATTCCTGTTCACAGGAACCAGCTGACTGTGAGTGGATGGGTAGGGATAAAGTAACTAAGACAACATATGTAGTTGAGTTCGATTACTATGACTCTAGTTTTTTCGGCTTTGATTTCCAGGTGCATCTAGTAGCTCATGAGCCTTCGTGGACTTCAAAAGAGATACAGACAGTTTCTTAGGAATGGCGTCTTGGACTGCAGAAATGGTTGGATCGTTACTGTCTTAGACGGTCTGTTGTACGAGTTTTCCACTTCCGTGAAGAACAATGAAGAAAATCAATCAGTGGTGAAGAAATTCAGTTTTCAGATTTTATTTTTTAGGATTCTCAAACCTATTTATCATTAGATAACGTTTGAAATAACACGTTTTGTATCGATCTTTATAAGCACTACTCTTCGACTAAAATTACCGAAGAGTTATAAGTCGAAAAACTGAGTTTCGATACTTATGGTAAGAGGCCCGGCATGGCCAGGTGGTTAGGGAGCTCGACTCGCAATCTGCGGGTTCGAATCCCCGTCACACCAAACATGCTCGCCCTTTCAGCCGTGGGGGCGTTATTATGAGACGGTCAATCACACTTTTCGTTGATAAAAGAGTAGCCCAAGAGTTGGCGGTGGGTGGTGATGACTAGCTGCCTTCCCTCTAGTCTTACACTGCTAAATTAGGGACGGCTAGCGCAGATAGCCCTCGTGTAGCTTTGCGTGAAATTCAAAACAAACAAATCAAAAAAAAATTATGGTGGGCACTGTACAGATAACCCATTGTGCTTAACAACAAAGAAACATTTTTTCTATATAACAGCTTACATTTATTCTAAGAGAGGTACTGGCTGTAGAATACTTATTATGTGTTATAATGCTTTTCTCCTATTTGGTTTAATTAAAAGGTGATGTAACAGATTATTCCAAGGTAAACTAGATAGATTTGTTTGAATTGAACAGTGATAGATTAGGTGGAAGGTAGCTAGCTACTCAAAACCACCCACCCCCAACTCTTGGGCTACTCTTTACCATTATAACGCCCCCACGGCTGAAAGAGCGAGCATGTTTGATGCGAACCGCAGATTGCGAGTCGAGCACCCTAATCATTAGGACACAAAATGGTGACTGGAAAACTTGGGAGAATTTTATTTATTTCTTTACATCGATCCCTAACGTTTTTGAAATATTTCAATTTAAACGTGAGAGTGATGAGAAAAATTGATCGAATGTATCGCAATTCCTTTTTAAAGACTAGAAAAAAAAACGGTTTATTTCATCTTTGTCCTCTTCTGCGGGGCTGAATTTGTCCAAAAGGCGAGAATTTGATTTCTCATTTATAAAGTTTCAGATTTTTTTAATAGACGGAATATAACTACTGTACGGAATTTCAAATAGTTTATTTTATTCTCTTTAATTTAATAACTGATTTGATATTGCAGTCACCCACAGGCAATTAATTTTACTCAGATTCTTTATTACTACCTTTCTCTTCCCGTAAAATAATAATAATAAAAGCATCAGGTCACCTAAATAATAATAATGAAAGCACCAGTTTACCTAAATAATAATAATAAAAGCATCAGGTCACCTAAATAATAATAATAAAAGCATCAGGTTACCTAAATAATAATAATAAAAGCATCAGGTCACCTAAATAATAATAATGAAAGCACCAGTTTACCTAAATAATAATAATAAAAGCACCAGTTTACCTAAATAATAATAATAAAAGCATCAGGTTACCTAAATAATAATAATGAAAGCACCAGGTCACCTAAATAATAATAATAAAAGCATCAGGTCACTTAAATAATAATGATAAAAGCATCAGGTCACCTAAATAATAATAATAATAAAAGCACCAGGTCACCCAAATAATAATGATAAAAGCACCAGGTCACTTAAATAATAATAATGAAAGCACCAGGTCACCTTCAAAAATTCAGAACTATAGAATATTATTATTTTTGTTTCTGCTTGATAATTTTATATCTTTCATATCTCTTATGAATATTTGATGACACATTAAGCCTACATAAGTACACAATAGTGACATTTCTAGGATTAAAAGGGACAAGGAGTTTTTTGTGGGGGGCAGAAAATTAACACTTCATATGAGAGGGTTTGTTTGTTATGCATTTCGCGCAAAGCTACACGAGGGTTATCCGCGCTAGCCGTCCCTAATTTATCAGTGAAAGACTAGAGGGAAGGCAGCTAGTCATCACCACCTACTGCAAACTCCTGGGCTACTCTTTTACCAACGAATAGTGGGATTGACCGTCACATTATAACGCCCCCTCGGCTGAATGGGCGAGCATGTTTGGTGTGACAGGGATTCGAACCCACGACCCGCAAATTGCGAGTCGTGCGCCCTAACCACCTGGGGTCATGCCGGACCACATATACGAGGGAGTTATTGTCTAAAGAGAACTTAAAAGTTTTAAAAGACTATATCCTAATATCTCAGATCAGGGGGCTCCAATGAGGAGCCCGCCGCCACTCCGGTGGACACCAGTAGTAGATGTTAAAATAGGAATGTTCGATTAGATATTGTGACTCGAGCTAGTTATAAACTTTCATACACTTTTAATTTAATAGCAACTGGCTAATAAATATGTTTACACCATGATAATCGGTGACCATGGTAACTTGTGTAACCATGGTAACTTTGTGTAACCATGGTAACTTTGTGTAACCATGGTAACTTGTATTTTCCATGTTTTCCTTTATTTTAGTTACAGTTCTGCAGAGTGAAGAACTTAGTCAAACTTAAGGATTGCTTAGATTTGAACAGCGAAGACTATTTCTTTAACTTTCTATTAGTTTCAGGAATACGTTGGTACTAAGAAGTGCATTTCTTTGATATATAAACATTTATTTAAATGCATTCAAAGGTGGGAAAAAAGCAAAAAACTGTGTATTTAAATAATTTTTTTTCGTCTTCATTTCGTTAACACTTATATATTTTTTACTGATTCAATGTCATATTCACTGAAATTAAACAATATCAACAACGAGATACACAAAGAAGATTTTTTGTGTTTTGATTTAGAACAAAACTACATTGGTCTGTCTCCTGTGTCTACGGGAGGATCGAACCCCGAATCTTAGCGTTGTTAAATCTATAATCTGACGTCTGTTCCACCAGCCCCCCCAGTGACACAGCGGTATGTCTGCGGACTTACAACGCTAGAATCCGGGTTTCGACACCCGTGGTGGGCAGAGCACAGATAGCTCATTGTGTAGCTTTGTGCTTAATTACAAATAAACAAACCCACTAGGGAACAACACAAAGAAGACTTTTTTGTGTGTATTTTGATTTAGAATAAAACTACGTAGGTCTGTCTTCTGTGTCTACGGGGGGATCGAACCCCGAATCTTAGCGTTGTTAAATCCATAATCTGACGTCCGTTCCACCAGGGAAAAGAAGTGCAAAAATGAGGTAATTTTCAGTTCATTTAATGTTGGTATAGCTTCAACGAAACTTATTAATTAAAAAAGTTCGGCGTTTCTAAAGCGGTTCAAGTTACATTCTGTTTTTGGAATATTCTATTAAATAAATATTTTTCTATAAAAATTAACTATATACTTAAGATACGAAATTTTGAAGCGATATCTAGCAATCTTTATACAGATCACTGTGTTTCCACAAAATATAGCCCCCGGTGACCTAATGATAAGCTTGAGTGGTTCTATCCCTATTGTAGGCGCGGAAGAGATAAACCCTTTTGTAGCTTTGTGCTCAACAAAGAAAACACAGAGAATTTTCAGTAGTTTTTATTTGCTTATAGTTTATTTTAATACTAAAGTAATTTATCATCAAGTATTCAACTATAAGTTTCAAAAGTTTAGCTTTAGAGCTAAGATAGTAGGCCAGCTATTGAGGATGAAGAACAAACAGATTTGATTATAATTTGAACTTATTTCCAACTAAGACAGTTAATTCTGAGTTTACATTATTTATGTAAACATTATGTGTGTTTACGTTATACACCGGAAAAGACAGTTTAAGCTTAATACTTCCTTTATGACAAACACGATTTGAGGAAACAATAAATATGTGTAAAAAGGCTGTTATTGGATTAATCTTCCTATATACGACCTCCTGACGACAGCATTCACAGAGAATACCACCATTACGAGATTCTACGATACCCTGTAAAGCGTGTTTAAAATATTGATCTCTGCACGATAGGGGGACCTACATGCTTCTCTCGTTAAACAATGGGCCCTGACCAACACGTAGAGGTATGCATGCTTCTCTCGTTAAACAATGGGCCCTGGTCAACACGTAGAGGTATGCATGCTTCTCTCGTTAAACAATGGGCCCTGGCCAACACGTAGGGATATGCATGCTTCTCTCGTTAAACAATGGGCCCTGGTCAACACGTAGGCGTATGCATAGGTCTCTCGTTAAACAGTGTCTTACCTTTAACATATATTATTTCTTTGTAGTTACTTTCATTAGTAGTACGGACGGAATGTTTAATATATCTAGTTTTTAATATTATACTTTCACTACAAAAATTAGTTTGTATTGTTAATTTAGTATATGGCCCGGAGAGGTTATCCAAATGTTGAAATAATAACTTTTGATCTTTATAAATAGATACGTAAGAAAAGCATGTTTAATTAGCTATACTGGTGGCCGTGTTGTTTTTTAGTTTAGATATACTGCACGGATTGTAAGCTTCTATTCCTACTACATACTAGACCCGGAAGCTTCGTGTCGTTTCAAGGATCAGGTAACTGTGTGTTCAGACGTTTCTGCTGCGTTGTGGCAAGTTAGACATTTCCAACGTGTAGGCCTAGAAAATAATCTCTCTATTTTTGCTTCTAAAGACAATGATTTGTTTGTTTGGTTTTAAGCACAAAGCTACACATTGGGCTATCTGCACTTTCTCTACTCGCCGCGAGTATCGAAACCCAATTTTTAGACTCTGTATTAAAAGTTTGTTTTCTTGTTAAAAACATACTACTGCTTTGAATTTAGGCT